GGGGGGGGCTTTAAAAAATTAGAGGCTTAGAGCTGGGGGGATGGGGGGATAACAGTTTTTGGACATTTGATTCCTTTGTCCTCCCCCCCCCCTAAAAATGATTATTCCCTTATTGGTGTGGAATCCATGAAGCAGCAAAGACATATTACCAAGAATAGATGCTATAAGAATGAAAAAGGTTATCATTCATTACTAATGGAATGAAAAAGGCTATTATTCATTGTGGATATAAAATAAATAAAACGATACTATTCGATTGTCTCAGGAATGTAGTCAACTGTTTGGAGTGCGACATTTCAGCTGCTGCTAGCTGTATGTTAATGAACTTGAAGGAATTATTAATTAAAGGAAACATAATCATGTTATAGATAATCCCTTTGCCAAAAGTATAAACAGCTTTTTGTCCCCGGGGGGTACTTGCCATGGGATCTGATAGGGGTGTCCCTCCAGAACCGCTGAAACCTGACGTTGTTTAAGACAGCAAAATCTCCAAAACCCATACCCTGTTGTAGTGGCATAAAACTGTAGACCCTATTCAAGGCTGGAGGAACAATAGTATACCATATGTAAGACATCTTATGGTAAAATGCATACCCTGTCTAAGACCAGAAGCTCAAAAACCATACCCTGACTGGCGGCACAAATCCCCGGGGCTTTTGGTACCATTTAAATCTGTACTTTACCATTTTAATATGTGCTTTTGGAAAAAATAGTGTGACAGGGATAGGTCTCAGAGCTTAGGCAATCAGAACATTTTTTCAATTAAGTGATACATTTAGACTCTGACTGGCTAAGCTCTGAGATATTCCTGTCACAAATTGTTTTTCAAAATAAAGATTTCAGTGATACAATATCATGTATAACACTTATTCAATTAAGAAGTGCTATGAATGACATTGTACCACTGAAATCTTTACTTTGTTTGACACAATGATTATTCATTCAAGTAYATATGAATTAAATTAAGTAACCCTTGCCTTAATCTTATTCCTCCATGGGTGTGAACAGTACTTACACAACGATGTAGTAGAGGATTTATTAAGACCACATTCACAGAAGTTTTCACTGTCGTTTACGCATTCTGGAATGTAGGAAAGTCCACTGGAGGTGGCAGGTTTTGTTGCATTCTTTCCATGTTGTCGCAACCAGATGAGAGATACATATTCATGCATAAATATATCTTTCCATCTTGTGTGATAGTTGGTGTTGATGCTATACCTCGCAATGGCCACATGTTTAGACTCCCTCCCCTCCATGGAATTAATGCCCAACCCCATCCCATACGTACTTTTCATTTCCCTTGTGTGTTGAGGAACCATATTTCCTAATGTCCAGATAGTGGGATTGCTATTATTAAAAAAAAGTACATTTAGTTTAAAGAAAATGGTACATAATTGTGTAAGTTTACTAACCTCCTCATCAGAAATAGTTATACGATTAAAAAGTGATACACAGTCACGCAGGGTCAATGCAAGATAAGYAAGAACATGAAAATGAAACTTTGCCTTCATTCCTGGTGCAATTTCAGGTTCAATGACATCAATTATGTACATAAAATATTTCAGAAACATCCTGGAATCTTTTCCAGTAAATCTATAAGAAAAACCTGAGGCATCTGGTCCAGACTCATCTAGATKTTTTACTACTTTGTTGGCCAGTCTAGACAAAGAACATTTGGACTTCAAAGTGTGTACATACTTAACCAAAGGATTACTGGGAGGCAACTGCAAAAAGACACATGTTCAAATATATTAGAGATCTTTAAAATTTCATCTAAAAAGTATTTGTGCAYAAGGGCACAAGCATTATTTTTAAGGTGTATAGGTTCAACATGAGCATTATCAATAAGTTTTCCCAACAAAGGTTCAAACTCTTGTCTGCTTTTTAAACTTGAAATTGTTGTAGTTATTCTGTTTCGTTGGGCAGATTTACTAAGATTCTTAGGYATCTTTTTTTTTRTGGCTTCRACAGCTTTTGCAACCTTAAGACGGTGTTCWTAACTCCAAGGTCTCCACAAGTTTGATTTTTCAGGTCCAAAGGTCCCAGTTGGATTATTGCAGTCACTTGTAGAAACATCTGCAAATGAAGAAAAATACTTAGCACTGTTTGACAACTCTCCACACAAAAAAGCAAGCATCTTCATATCGTTAGGGAGTTCACTTRTCGTGAACCTAACATCAACAGTTTCATCATTGATATCAAGAGAAWACGTCTTCTTCTGAATTCTTTGGATGTCTGAAACTAAACTTTTGATATATTTAATCACTGGTGGAGCAGTTTCTTCACAGTTTGCACCAAAAATTAAAAAGTTTTCRTTGCTGCTTAGGACTCCACGACCAATATTTTAAAAAAACTTATCAACCAGGAGCAAGCTGTATTGTCCTTTCCAAAGGGTGCACCTTCGCCACCAGCAACATGAAAATTGTTAGTTTCCCCCGCCCAAACCATTTCAGTTCATACCCACTATACTCGTTTAGATAAAACCTTGCTAGATTCACTAGCACTTCTTCAAGACTTCTGTAGCAACCGCTTACCTGTTCATTGTCCTTGCAGAGATTATCTTGAACACTATACACAGTTCCAATATCAATAGATTTAATAAAATGCATAAGCTTATTATRTGAAACATATCTAGGGACAGGACAGTTAGCAATGGATATACGAGTCAACTTCTTGTCATTACTCTTGAATGAGCTATCTCTATAAAGTTGACGGTATTTACGCTTACCCATCA